GGGGGGGGGGGGGGGGGGTGTTGCCGACGGAGGCTACCGTGGAAGGGCTGACGAACGGCCTGGTGTACAGCTTCCAGGTGGTGGCCGCTAATGCCTTCGGGTACAGCACTCGCAGCCTGCCCTCCAACAAGGTATGGATGGGACGTGCCGGGATGGGATGGGATGGGATGGGATGGGATGGGATGGGATGGGGTGGAATAGGACGGGATGGGATGGGATTGGCCTTGACGGGCTGGAATGGCATGGGGCACGATGGGCCACGATGGAGCATTCATTTGTTCAGCTAATAGTGCGCATCGTTTATCACTTCCTCGCTCTCCCTTTATTCCCCGTCCACGGTGAGTACTGCTTGCACCAGATGTGCGTGCTAAAGCCTGGTGCTTCGGGGATTGTTTCTGATGGTGATGGTGCGGTTACCTTTCGGGTGTTAGTGTTTGTTTGATGGTTTCCCGACAGAGTTTCGTCCATCAACCGTCGCTCGCAGTTGTTCCGCCTACGTTCATACCGAAGGGATGGTCCGTAAATTTCGAGACCCGATGCAGGCAGACACAGAAGAATCCCACTAAGAGATCGCTTTTGAAGGTTAGACTATTCACCAAATGGCAAGAAGGCAGAGTCGCGTATACATAGTATACCCTTGGACGACGATGGATGGGCGATGGATGTTACAGAAGTTACACATAATATTATTTTGGTTTGCGCATTCACCCTTACTTTCTTCTCGGTGACGTTCTTTCTTCGCATCACGTTCCTTCTTTACTTCGCGTATTTCTTCCCCCCGCCCTGATGTTCGTTGACGCCTCCCGTATTCTATGTGGATTCTTTTTCTTGGCCGGCTTTCTGCTACTTGCTTCTTGCTGCGTACGGCCGTTCTTCTTTTGTCTGCGCGAAACGAAACCGACCGTGGATTCATGGTCAACCAAGGTTGTAACGCACGACCCCGCGGACCCTTGCGGCCTGGTGACGTGCGGGGACCACGGGTCGTGCTTCGTGCAGCGCAGTCAGTCCAACGCCCTGAGAGGGTACTGCGTCTGCCACCCAGGGTGAGCGAGAGAGAGTGTACTCACGGTCTGTGTGGCAGGAAAGAATGAAAGAAAATAAAAACAACGAAAAGAAGGAAATATTACCTTAGGGGGTCATTTTGTCAGTGGTTGACCCTCGCCCCATCGTGAGTGCTCAAGAGGAACGGAGGCCCTTGGTGTCTTGTGCCATCACGCCTTCTTTGTGCCTCTCTCTAGCGTTGTGCGGTAACGTTTCGCCTTTCTGGCTTCACGCGGGATGACGTTGGACCTTAGCTGAGTACGGTACACGTATGCATACGGCACCCATGTTGTCGAGGCCGGGTGCTATGCATATATTATACACCTCTTCTTTTCCCCTTGGTACGGCAGCAGCCTAGGCTAGGCAGTGCCCCTCCGGCCGCGTTTAACGGTACCACACCGCTGCTACTGTCGATGTTACTGCTGTCGTGTCTGCTATCTGTGGCTCGTTCGCAGGTATTCGGGCAGCGACTGCTCCGTGGTGGCGTCCGGCACGTCACCCGTCCTTGGCGCGTACCCCGGTTCTTGGGGGGAGTGCGACATGAAGTGCGGCGGGGGAGTGAGGTGGGGATCCTTCGCTGTGTTGGTTTTTGGCGTATGTATGTATGCCATGGTACAGATTAGTCGGGGCGTGGACAACATTTGAGTGGCGAATTGCATAGCTGTGGTGTTTGATGGCTCCGCCAACGCTTCGTGTTCATAAAACCGCCGTGGAACTTTTCAAATTCATTCCACCCCTTCGCTTTTGTGTGTGTGTGTGTGTTTGTGTTTCTACACGAAGGCGCCGCACGGTGCAGTGCCTCGAGTTCCTCGACGGCATCCCCCTGATGCCCTCGGCCAACGACACGAGCTGCTGGGAGGAGCTGGGGGAGACCCCGGAGAGCCACCTGGCCATGACGGAGAGGTCCTGTCGGAACGTGGCGTGCCTCGCCATGTTCCTCGATGTGAGATGAGATGAGATGAGATGAGATGAGATGCAGTGCAGGCTACGGTAGTCAGCGAAGAGTTAGTCAGTCAGTCCCGTGAGTCGTCGTTTTCGATTTTTTTTTTTCTTGTTCCGTGAGCAGCAAAGGGAGAAAAGAAGACGGTTCTTTTTTGTTTTGCGGTTTGAGGCGTGTGTGTTTGTTTGTTTGTGGTGAAAGTGTGATTTGTACCGGCCGTACTTGTCACAAGCCCTGTAACAAAATCTGGAACGAAGCTCGTCGTGTACATCTATCGCCAAAACAGTTTTGGCGTAAAAGGTGATGTAGGTTAGGCAGGCAACAGTCGGTGATTGTGTGGTCGAAGTGATGGGGAAAGGAACGAAAGAAAGGAGAGCACATATGGTGGTGTGCACAGACACGAAGAGGAGAAAGGGGGGGAGGGTGTTCATCCGACACGAAGGAAGCGTCGACCAGCGGACCGCTCCCTGTCAAACGGATAACCCCCCCTGGTGCTGTTGGGTGTGCACTTGTGTAGCCGAAGCTGCATTGATTTTCGAACGGTTTTTTCCCTTTTTTCCTCCCTTTCGTTCCCTCCGTTCTGTCGAGCACGAGGCTGTTTTGATCGGGCTATAGGAGGGTCCCACGATGGTGCTCGTGCGTCACCGCCGCCAACAATGACCAAACAAATTCATTACAGGGACATTACACCGTGAAGAAGAGTCTTGGTCTGCATCGCTACCACAAGGCGAAGGCAGACAGACGCCCTTTACTCAAATGTTGCTGTGTTTTTTGTCGTCTCATGTATGTGTGTGTTGTTGCAGGTGACGATGAGGCTCCGAGCTTTCTACGATGACGCTTGCTTCACTGTGGCGGCACAGGACGCCTTTCTCTCGGGCTTCGCGGCGGAGGTGGCCCACGCCCTCAACATCAAGGTCGAGCTCGTGATCGACCTCAACGCCTTCCACACCGACAAGCACAACGAGATGGAGGTAAAAGGTGTAAGGTGTAAGGGCATGCTGTTGTTCTTGTCGCAACTGCTGCTGCTGCTGCTGCTGTTATTGCTGTATCTGTTGTTGTTTTCACGCGCGTGGAACCACTTGGTACCCCCAGTATCCCCCGCGTTGGGCGACTTTGGAAAATGATGCGTGGTGTCTTGGTTCTAAATACCAAATACCCAATGCACACACCCCATTTCCCACCGCCCCCTACTATGATGTATGCCACTATTTCTATTTTCGAAACAACCGTCTTCCAGGTGCGGTTCATCATCGCTCCCGGGCAGACCGGCGCTGACCAGCCCATCGAGAACCTTCGGGAGCAGCTTCTTCTACAGGTTTGTTCAATTGGTCGCTTCTTCTACCGGTTGTTTCGCCGCGTTTACCGTCCCCAGCCCTCGATTCTATAATATTGTCATCCGTCGTTCTAGTTCTCTGTCTCAGCTTTGCATTGACGGATATACGCATAGTTCGATGGGCATTTTTTTTTTTTAAGTTGTGGTGGTAGTGGCTATTCCCCCGCAAACGTGCTGTTGTGGATATGCGTATGGCGTGAAGGTCGTGGCATTTTCCAGGTTAAATTTAACCCCAACCCAAGCTTTTGCGTATGTGCTGGTAGCGTTGGAGCGTAGTTGCTGCTCCTTTCTCTGTCTGCTTTGCTCCCTTCTTGCAGTTTCGCGGTCCATCGTCCATCGCAAGGTACACGCTTGTTGCTGTTTTTTTTTTTCGTTTTTCATAGCTTTTGTAACCTTCTCTTTTTTTCAGTCATAGATGGCGTGGACGGGGTGTGTGTGTTAGTGTTATGTTGCTTTTTTGACTGTGCTTGCATCACCCCCCTGTCGATTAGTGTATTTATTAGTCCGCCGACCGACGCCACGACGACAAGAACAACAACAGATAAAAAAAGAGAACGACGTTAACCACCAAAAAGGTTAAAAAGTCGACAACTGGCGGCGGCGGCGGCGGCGGCGCATCGGTCTGCTGTGCCGGTCACTAAATAAGAGGAAAGACATGAGCGATAAACCAAAATAGCTAGGAGTCTTTTCATTGGTCAGCCTGGTCAATACGTCCGCGATGCCGCATCAACATAAAACACGCAACACACGCCCGCCCCTCACGCACGCGCAGGCGGCTTCGGAGACGAGCTCGTTCCGGTCGCACGGCACGTGGACCCGTAAGCTCATCCCGGAGTCGGTGGAGGTGTCCCAGGGCACTTACGAGCTGCCCTCCCTCAACGTGACCGGCATCGCGTCCGACCTGGTGATGATCCTCATGGGGGTGGGCACCTCGTGCTTGGCCGTGGCGGTGTACGGGGCCTGCTCTTCCCGGAAGAGCAAAAAGTGGGAGACCGTCTACGACGGTGAGGTTTATTTGTTTCATTTTTTCTTACGTACTTCGTAAAACACAGTAAGTTCAAGTCTCGCGCAGATTTTGAGTCTGCGACGGTGAGGTTGTTTATTTATTTTTTCTTACATAAAACACAAGTAAGTTTCAAGTCTTGCGCACAGATTTAGAGTCCGGGATAGGTGATGTTATTGTTTTTTTAGTTTCTTTTCGGCCTCGCGTGTATTTGTGTTGCGGCTGGGTTGGGCCACTGCTGAAGTGTCGTGGTTTGTTTGTTTTCAGCGCTTGAAAAAACTAGGTGTGCGTGCGTGCTCGAGTAGAACGAAGAATTTGCCCCGAATTTTTTTGTTTTCGTCTAGACTGTCCTGTAGCAGCAGCAACGGAAATGACTACGACTCCAGCACTTGGATATCAAACAGACGGGTCGTGAGGCGTCTGTGAATCGGCGTGTACGTTGTATCCTATTTTTTCTCCTCTCTGTTTCTTCGGTCTTTTCTCGAAAACAACCGATGTGCAATACTATACTTGTCGTGGCTGCATCCATCCATGTTTGTTTCGTTTCTCCGCGACACAGGGGAGTACGGCGACGACGACAGCACGGGAACATCCCCCAGCGGCGAGGGAGGGCGCGGTAGCGGCCGCCGCAGGTTCCACGGCAACACCGGCGGCAATCGGTTGGACGGCGACGGCAGCGGCGCCGCCGGTGGAACCGGAAGAGGAGGCGGCGGCGGCGACGGCGACGGCAGGGGCTGCGTCCGCCGAAACCGTCGGTGGTTCGAGCTCGATGACGACTCGGAAGACTACGACAGCGAGGACGAGGACGACGAGGAGTGGGACGACGAGGACGAGACCAGCCCGTTCTTCGGCAGGTGCGCCCTCCGCTCTCTGCTCTGCCGCGACGACGAAGACGAAGGCGACGACAAAGGCGAAGGCGACGAGGAGGCGCCGGCTTCGTGTAGACGGGGGGGGTCGGCAGGTTGTGGCCGCGGCGACGGGGACGGGGACGGGGCAGAGGCGGGCGGCGACTACTGCGGTTGCGCGTGCGAGTGCGGACGGTCCAGCGGTAGGGAAGGGGGAGGAGGAGGAGGAGTGGAAGCGGGAGCTACCGGCCGCGGGAGCGGCGGTGGGTGCACCAGCGGGCGGTGCTGCACCTGCCGGAACGACGGCGACGGGCTCGAGCTGACGCGAGGCCCCGCCATCGACCTATCCAGCGTCGACCTCGACAAGCTCCCGCTGCCACTCACCGGCAGGAGCAAGCCGATGCCCCCGCTCTCCGGGGAAGCGGTCTTGCACCGGAGGCGAGGGTGGGGTTTCGACGGCGGAGGCGGGAGCGGCAGCGGCAGCGGCAGCGGCAGCGGTAGCGGTAGTGGTCGAGGCCGCGGCGGCGGCGGCGGCGGCGGTTGCGTTTCGTCGGGCGTCGATGAGGAAGACGGCGGCGGCGGCACCGTGGTCCGAGCGAGAGGCATGGGCGGGGGTAGAGGGAACGGCGGTGCCGGCGTCCGGGACGGTCATAGCTCGGACGGGTTGCTGGGAATCCAGCGGCCTGGCCGACAGGCGCTAGTGTAGTGAGGACGAATAATCGTGTTTTATTTTTTTATTTCTGCTGTTTGTTGTGAGACGATGTATGCAAAGTGGCGAAGACGCTTGGCTTGTCGTGGACGTTGCGATCGACGCTCGCACGCACGGACGCCCTGGAGCCGAGCACGAGGAAGAACGCCTCCTGCTTCGCTTCGCGGTGAAACGGCAATCGCCGATCGTCGGGAGTGTTTTGGTTGTGTTGTCTTGTGCTTCCTTCCCCTTTCGTCATGGTGTCCAATTACTTACCCGGCACGACCACGCGCTGTGTTTTCTGTAGCTTTCCTTGTGCGTCTAGAGTCGTGTCGTTTTGCTTGATTATGGTGCGTGTACCAATAGTGTCGCGTCGGGGGTTGCGAAGAGGAATGAGGGATGGGCAGAAATTTTGCGGCGGCTGGTAATAGATCTGCGCCTTTTCTTGTTTTGTGTAGCTGTTACGTGGGGTGTTACTGACGATTTGCATATTTTAACTACTGCTGTTTTTGCCGGGCTAGAACACGCCCGCATAGCACGCGCGCGCGCGTTTTTTGGGGAGGTTGTTCCTTGCTGAAGGGGGCTGGGGGATTCACGCACATGCGGTTGGCTGGCCGTGCTTGGACACAGTCCGGCGTCATCGGGTGCCGACGAAAAATTGCCGGCGAATTGTCCACGTATAGAGTGGGTTTGAGTTTTGCACCGAGTAATAATCGTTTCTCATTGTACTCTATTCGGTAAGTGCGTATGTATGCCAAAGACATTTTTTGTGAGTATTTGATAGTCGCATCCTTAGGTGAAGGTTGTACATACGGCACCGTGTACATCGTAGTCTGCTTTCCGGACTGTTCGGGCTGACCCTTGGAGTTGGTCCGCTTTTAGTGTGGTAATGCACAAACGAAAAATGCACGAACCAAGCAAGAAGACACGTCTTCCTTTCGACACACGAAATATAGGAGGGAGGGTGGTGATGCTATAGTACAATAGAAACCACGTTTGAGAGACAGCCGGCCGATACTTCGTGTTTTACGTCAAGTTTTCTCAGTCTCGTCACTGCATCATCGAGACCTCGGGATGGGTGTCCATCCGAGCGACAAATCACGACACCAGACACGTCTCCCTTTTCTTCCATTCCGCCCCGGTGGAGAAGAGATGGCGAACGGCGCTGTCCGTTGGTCTAGCCATAGGGGGCCAAGGGCTAGCAGGCTGTTGACGGTGACGTTGGAAGAGTGGCCTTGAGCGGCGGACCGATTCTTCGCGGTCCCTCGTCGGACAATAACAGTCGTCGTATCTATGTCACGAGCTTCCCTCTCCTGGTGGCCAAAGGCGTACGTACCACGATTCCGGCAGCCTCGTGCCTAGACGGTACCAAAAGGCGTTCTACACAATTCAGCAGCCTCGTGCCCGAACGATCAGAAGGCGTACAACATTTCCATCAGTCTCGTGCCAAGACGGCATCATTGAAGCCCCCTGATATTGGGGGGGGGGGGGGGGGGTACTCATAGTCGTGCATGCCGTAGTCGTTAGACCATTGACCTCGCATCCCTACAAAGCCAGGACGGAGCACGCCGGGTTCTCACCGGACCAGGCTCTGGGGGGGGTCCATAGGACTCAGCATTCAGTTCGAGCAGCGGTATTATACCCTCTCTAAAATCTCTTCCTCCCCATCTCATCCAATGCCGTTGGCCAAGGGGAGGGCACGCCTCCTCCTCCCCCCTACTGCTGCTTCTGCTGCAAGCCGGCGGCCTTGAGTTGCTCCGATTGAGTCTTGTCTCTCATAGCCTCGAGAAAATCCCCTAGCATCTCGCCTCGCATCATCGCCTCCCACCCGTGCCGCGAGTAGTTCGCGCGGTGATCGGTGATGCGGTCCTGCAATATCATATTGTTTTTCGTTGCATTGATACGAGTATTATGTCAATTTGCTGAAACATATTGCTGCAACACTTACCAGTTTTTGGGCGGACAGATAGTGTCTCCTCCTACCATCGTCTGCTACAAGTAGTACGTGTCTGGAAACCCGTGCGACCACCAAGCCGCGTCCTCCGTGCGGGAGACGACCAAACGACGCCCTCGCCATCAGTCACCGCTCGCCAACGGGTACGGCAGGGAGGGTTGGTTGTGTCCTACACCAGGGCTAAGAATCGAGACGCTCGCCAACGGCCAATGCAGCCAAGGAGCCACACCATCACCCTTCCCCCGAACAATCGCATCACTAAATGCAGCGGACCAATCATACACGAGCATCGCCCCCCTCTCGTGCGACAGACGCACCTGCGGGAAGTTGTACGTGCGAATCCTTTCGGAGCGGTCTCCGGACCCTACCGCGGAAGCTCTCACGGCCGCCTCCTTCCTCGCAATCTCGTCCCGCCTCACCTCGAACACTCTTTCGGATGGATTTAACATTTTAGATCAAGTATGTTTGGGTGTTTTGTCGTGGGTTTGATTGTCGAGAAAAACGGAAAAAGCGAACGGATAAAGGGAGGAGGAGGTCAGCTAGTTCAGTCAGCGACATCAGCCAGTGATTTTGATTCGATTGGTCACCCAGCTGGCTTGCGGTGCGATTGTGGACTAACCTGCCGCGTGCGGATCAGTAAGTCAGATCGACGAAACAGTGGAGAACAGCTGTAGCATACTTCTTAAAAGAAAAAGCTCGTATCAAAGACACTGTTGATGGGAGTACGTCAAACCCCACAGCGTTGCGAAATCGCGAAATCAACCATCCCCGGCTCGCTCAGCGCTACGAGAAAAAAAAAGCAGCAGTGATCGCAAAAAAGAGGTTTATAGCGCAAAGCGCAGAAAAAAAACAACACCTCACCTTGATCTTAACACCTTGAGGGCCTTTTCCTTATTGGAGTGCTGCGACCGCTCGTCCTATGCATTTTGGAGATGCATTTCGGGGGCACGCGCAAGGGGTGGGGTGTCACCAGCAAGGGGAGGACCCAGCGAAGCAAGCGTGCAGTGGCCACAGAACAGCTTCAGGGTTGGGGTATTTCGTGTTTGTGTGCAATTTCTTTCGTCCCATCCTGCCCATCCTGGGTACCATTGCACACCTACCTACGTATGTTTGACACACCGTCAATGCCCACATTCTAAGCCCAAGAACAGAAATATCAACTTGACACAGGGCGTGTGTGTGAGGGGGGGGGTGTCCAGCGAAAAACAAGAGTAGAGACAGATACACTGCAACGACGAGATAGCAAGCCGATGAAAGACCATGAAGAATTGAGGACCAGGGTGGGGGCCTTCTCTGAAGAATACCCCGAAAGAAATAAACGAAACAACTTCTTGCCTTCACGCACGATAGAGTTAACACAACGATAACTTAACGCACACGACAGCAGTTTCCGTCGGTTCTCGCAGCTCATGGAACGCGCCACCTACCCAATCCTACCTTAGGGCGTATCAGCAGTTTTTTTTCGGATTCATGCATGCTCGGATGATATGTCTGCATCACTTGTTTACCTGTATGGACGCCGTGATGCCGGTGGGCACGTGTGTTATCCGGACGGCGCTTTCGGTGGTGTTGACGTGCTGCCCACCGGCCCCGCTCGCCCGAAAAGCCTCGAAGCGGAGGTCGCTGGAACCACCACCATCACCAACACACAATTGTCACCGGCAGTACATGGCGGTGCCGGCAGCAGCAGCAGAGCAGCAGCAGCAGCAGCAGCAGCAGCAGCAGCAAGTAGGGTCAGCAACAACAGGATCAGCAAGCACAGACACTTCTATTGCCACATGTGTACAGCATCTCCCCTCTTCCCTCGAACACGCAAGACACACCACGAGAGAAAAATTGTCTGTTTAGCAGCGTACGTTGGCACAAAGAGCGCTTCCAGTCGGAAACTAGACAGGCAAACCGTTTTGGTGTCCAATCTGTCTGCCTCAATCTCCCTCTCTCTCTCTCTTTCTCTCCCTTCGATTCGATTCCCCATCTCCCTCCCCCCCTCTCTTGCTGTCTCTCTCTCCCTCTCTCCCCCTTCTGTTGTGGTGTCTGATCGTATCCCAGCCCTCTCAACATGTGAGTTTCTGAAAATGTCTCTCTCTCGCTCTCTCTCTCTCTCTCTCTCTCTCTCTCTCTCTCTCTCTCTCTCTCTCTCTCTCTCTCTCTGTCTAGTCACCTCTGTTCCAGCTTGAGATCCATTTCCTCGGCCTCCATCATGACCACCACCGATGCCGCACTGGTGTGCAGACGCGGCGAGTTAGACGGCACCCTTTGCACCTGCACACGCATGCGATAACAGCAGCAATAGAACAACAACAACAACATCAGCACCGACAGAAACCTCCGCAGAAAAAGCAGCGGTAGAGGCACCCGAGAGTAGAAGCAACAAGGCCTACCACATCAACGCTGACAACAACAACAATAACAACAGCAAGACAAAGAAGGCGTGAAGAAGGGGGTTGGGGACACCCCCATCCCCCTCCCTCTTCGCTCTCTGCTCTCTCTTCTCCCCCCTGTCTCTCTTTCGCCCTCTCCTTCCTCCTCTCACCCTGTGCACGCCGTTCTCGAACTTGAGAGACCCGTAAACGTCTTCCCCACGAATGGACGCTGAAGCTTCTCGGTACCCACCTGTAGCCGTCACGTCCCGGCCCGAACAACAATAGGGAGGGGGTAGGCAGACAAGACATGAAACGAGGGGGGGGGGCGTTGAGCTATAGGGCGACTTCAAGCGACAGTCACCCACGAAAATAGAAAGAGGAGGGAAGGGTTTCGGTCGCGTTGGCCAAAGAAATCGTACAAATGTCGGGAAGGGGGGAGGGGGGGGGGGGGGGGGAAGGGGAACAACTTTTCTAAAAAAAGGCCCAGGGTTGGCTTAAAAAAAGTAAGGGGGTC